CAAGAGAATATCAATTTATAAACTAAAACCTAAGCCTCTTTATAGGAAAGGACTTCCAATCTAAGTAAACTTTCTATCTAAACAAACTTGTAGAAGATAACATTGAGATAATATCAGAACTCCTAACATATAAAAAACTAAAATCTAGATTAACTCAAATTCTACTTCTTTCTAGTCCTTCGCCTTGAGTAGACTTTAAAATTGTTTCCCTCATTACTCCCTTATTGAAAAGAACTTGACTCCCACGACGTAAAATTCAGATAGACGTCCAAAAGTTCTGTATCCAACTGGCGAAACTTATCTTTAGTAATTCAAGCAGCATCTCTAGATGGACAACCTTTCCAACCAACAATATCATGAAGAGAAAATGTGGTGATGGGTGCCTGAGGGGACGGCCGAGCAGCCTATCTTGCAAATACATTAGAAGACAAAATCGAAGGCTCGAACGGGGATTGATAACAATATAAATCTACTAAACTGAAAACAAGACTAATATTAAGTGTGTGACAAATCAAGTAGATAAGCGTTAGCTCCAAGCCTTTTAATAATGGGAAAAGGAAGTGATCAAGTACAAAGCTTTTAGCAGCATGTTTTAGAAAATGTTTCGGTGCAAGTCGTATCATGACAAAGTCGCTAACAATAAATTTCTTATACCTACGATGTGAACTGACTATGACTATCACTTTGTAGTGGTTATTACTTAAAATAATTTTCCATTTAATTTTATCATGCAAGTCCCAAATGTGATCAGTAGAAACTTTGACATAGACAGTGGGACAAATTAGGAGGCAAATGAACAAGATCAATTGGCCGACATCGGGAGAAACCCACAACGATCTCAAATGGGCTATAATAGATTAACCTATTGACAGAATTGTTTTACGCGAACTCAGCAGTAAGCAACACAAGATTTCAGTTACCCAATTTTTCCCCAACTAAGCAACAAACTAAGCTACCTAGACTACGGTTCACTACTTCAATTTGACCATTTGGCCAAGGTGAAATGCAAATGAGAACTTAAGTATTATCCCAAATTATTCCCACAGCTTCTTTCAAAAGTAATTAACAAACTTAACATCATGATGAAACACGGTAGTCATTGGGAGCTCATGTAGGCAAACTTCTTCAAAGAACAACTTAGCTACATAGGATGCATCAGCAGATTTGGAAAAGAGAATCAACCAAAGCATCGGTCCGGTACTAAATGTAGCCTTTCCATTAGGCAAGATACATAATATTTATAACGCTTTGGTAGTTAAAGGTACATGATCTCTAGCTGTTTTAGGCAACCTTAGAACAAAATCCATACTAAGATCATGCTAAGGAGTATGAGGGACGGGGAGAGGAGTATACATCCCTGTACTTTAACCTTCTGCTTTTTCTAGTTGACACATATGACATTAAGACACAATGCAAGGAACGTCCGTATGGAAAGGGCAATAAAATCGATCATCGACAAAGGTAATAGTTTTGTTTTGACCACAATAACCAGCTAGACCCCTTCATGTAGTACCCAAACAAAGAACTCACGAAATGAAGGGAGTACTTGTCAAAATGACCTAGTCAAAGGTCCCTAATTCCATTTTGACTTTTCCAATTGACAATAATCCCAAAATGACCCATTTGCTATAAAAAGACAAAAACACCCTTAAGTGACAAAAACAATTACAAAACATGTTAGAGTTAAAAAGACAATATTACCCTTTTAGTTAAC